ATTATCTAAACTGACACATTTTAACAGCAACGCAGTTTGAAATAAGGGAAAATGCGACGCAGAGTAGGTGTAACTGAGCTCAAGCAATCAAATTTAGAAGGCTCCAGAGTACCTTTGATGTGGCTTAAAAGAGTTGAATGAAAAATGTCAAAATAAAGTGAGCAGTGTGCAAATAAAAAAATTCGCAAAATAATGTGGTGCGACAAAAATTGCCTAAATAAATGCTTTTCATTGACTCTCAGAGAGTTAAACTGGAATATAAATTTCCCATGATGACAGTGCGTCGAAGTATAATGAGAGAAAAGGAAAAAGTTGCAAAGGCCAAATAAGTGAGAAATATAGCGAATCCAATAAAAGTGAGCAGATAGCCAAAATTGGACTAGCCCAGGATAAATAAATGAAGAAATACAGGCTCAAAGCACAGAATGTTATATATATATAAAGAAAGCAAATCATACATTACATTGAGAAAATGAAATTTTAAATGACCCAGATTGGAATGTTGAAAGGTGATAAGCATATAAAAATGTTTTATTAATCAAGAGTAGGATATGATAATAATGATTTAATATGTGAGTTTCTGAGAGATATTTCGAAAGTTATGAGATATTTCATAACTAGTGCAAAGCAACACTTAGGATTAGGCATATAGTTTGATGTTGTGCGAATATAAAGAACCTTCTTTCATGGAGGAACCAAGGCCGGCAAACTGAATCGGATTCGATTGACCCAAAAATTGGCACAAGGTGCGTGGTAGACATGGCCGGCCAGTTCGATGCTCGCTTGAATTCGAGATGACTGACGGATAATCAGCTCCTCCAAAGTTCCTAAGCCTGGATCGGTCTTACCAGCAACAATCGGAGCAAGACAAACGCCACAGAGTTGTTGACAAACTGGAACACCTGAATTCAGACCAGAGACCTGAGAATGACCGCCAAAACCACCATTACTGATTTTGACGTTGCTGCAACTGCTTGTATTCTCAGAGCGGTTGCCTTTAGTGGTGAGTATAATAGTTTTGGAGGCAGTATTATGAGAAGAACGAGCATCAGAAGCAAAAAGAAAGTCTTCGGAAGGAATGGAATCAGTCTGGGGCAGCGGAGATTCACCAGTGAAGTCAGCAACGTTTGCCTGACCCAGGTGGCGAGGCATGTCAACAAGAAGTTCGGCCTGAGCCTATAATAGGAAAAGTAGAGCAAATTCCTTAAAACGTCTGAATAAGTGAAACTACACATCTGAGGGTAGGGAGGCTGAGTGATAACCAAACCCATGACAATGTCAATTAAAAGATGAACCGTCCGAAATATCAAAATCATACTAAAATAAAATAAATAAATAAAGGGAATTATTACTAGTCATTTTCAAACATGAAAGTGATTCTAAGACATGAGCTGTTGCCTGACCAGTACCGATTAAAAGCCATATAATTGATTGCCTATGGATTAAGTTATGGAGTTATTTAACTAAATCAAGTCTTACAAGGTTTGTAGCGACCAAAGTTACTGTCATCCATCGTTGCATCACGTTTAAGAATTAAATTGCAAAGCCAGTCAGGCTTGGAAATATGGAGAGAGCTGGAGAGCCTGAGATTCACTAGCTAATCGACTTGTTCGATGCACAGTTACTCCTAAATGTGACGAAAAATATGATAACATTTGTTTGAGTTCTAGAAACTCAAACATCATTTACTTGATTAATGATATGTTTAATGAAAGCTAAATAAATGTATAAAAGCTCAATAATGATCAGGTTTAATCACTATAAAGAATAAATAAGTTCAACTTTTCAGGCAGTAAGTACATGAAAAAATTATGTATTGTATTCCTCAAAAGTAAACACCTTTTCACATCACGTGGGAATATTAAGTTACAGGATAAGGCTGATGGGTTAGGAGAGGCCACGGATAGAATTAGTAGGCGGACACATCATAAGGAACTTAGGAATTATAATTAGGTCGAGAAACTTTGCACCTAGGTTAAGTAGTAGAAACCATGTTTGCAATAAAGTTAAGAAAGATAAAGAAATCAGTTTATCCATTATAATCCTGGAGGATAGTATGCAGCTTTTATTGGAAAGAGGGTTCAATTTTGCTCATCCCAAACGAAGTAAAAGATTCTCTGAACATATTTGTTGAATTAATAAACTTATCTGAAAGATTGTCTGAAGAAGTGAAGAATAGTATTGAATTGAAAGTGATTCCTCATTTTGACCAAATAGTCGCGCTAAAGCAATCT